GGAAGTCCTCCAGAGTATAGATTCTTAAGAGTGCTTTAGCTGTGGAGTATCTTAATTAGGCTATTAGCCAAAATTTCAACTTCCTGAGCTAATAGAAGCCAGACCAGAATTCAATCTATACTCACCAGTAGATGTCTTTGAACCCAGAATAATTTTCTCTTCTCTGGAAAGCGCCTAGAGGCTGAGGACACTGCAGACGTTCACAGACCCAGCACCCCTCATGTACCTTCAGACAAAGCAGTGTCTGAGTGTGCACAAGGTCCGTCAGGAGTCCGTTCTGCTTCCACCATCTGAGGGTTCTCGCGCTCCAGGCAAAGGGCCAGAGACCCTTGGTCCCATCTGGGGTGCCAAATTGTTATCGGACCAAATGCGGGTCCCTGCCAGGGGTGGGGGAAATAGTTTTTACTTCACTCGGTTTCACTCTCAAGTGGACACCAACTGTGTGTGCCAGTAGAAGTGCACTCCATAGAGTTTTAAATGGCTGTTTCCTTTTAGAAGTGGCTCACCAGGCTTTTCTTCAGAAAAGTCTGTGTAGATTTGAACTGCCAACCTTTAGGTTAGTACACGAGTGCTTAAATGGTTACAGTACTCTGCATGTAAGACAATAGCCCTTAGTTCATAGGGTGTTATGAGGTATAAATAAAATACTGAAAACTCTTAAAAGCACTTTAAAAATAGTAACTATCTTATTATTAGGAGCTCTGGTGGTGTAATGCCTAAGGCATTTGACTGTTAACCAGAAGGCTGGCGGTTCAAACCTACCAGCCACTCCTCGCAAGGAAGATGGGGCAATCTTCTGTAGTGCTACTGCCTCGGAAACCCAAGGAGGCGTGGCTATGAGCCAGCTCCGACTGGTTGGCAGAGTTTGGTTTTTAGTTTACATTATTACTGGTTACTTCATCAGTGATTTTTATTCTACTGCTGACCCCTACAGGGTCGCTATGAGTCGGATTTACTCTACAAGGAATAGGTTTTGATTATGATTATCTCTATTTTCTAAATGACTTGCAGTGAACACTATTTTCCAAAAAAAAAAAAAATTATACACACACACACACTGTTTAACATAAAAACACTGATCGAATCGTTGCACGAAAAAGCGAAATCGAAAGACTGAGAGGGATATTGGGTGGAAAGTATCAAAGGGACAACTTTGTTGATAGCGGTAGTAAGTAGTTGTAGAGGAAGCACGCCCTTCTAGGCTGCCGGGCCACCCTCCAAGCCACCGTGGTCTTCCGCTCCCAGAGGCCCCCGGCTGCGGAAGTCGTCACTCAGAAGGGACCGAGCCTCACGGCGTGTATCCAGCTGTAGACTCGCCATGGCAATGGGCGGCGGTGGCGGCGTCCCAGAGCAAGAAGACTCGGTGCTGTTCCGGCGTGGCACAGGCCAGGTGAGGTCATGGCCCGCGCTGCCTCCCTCCTGGCTAGCAGTGTGCGCTCTGAGCGCCCACTGCCCTGCCCCTCGCTTTCCCTGGCTGCGGGGCGGGACCTGGCTATCCCTGCGCTTAGCGTGGTCGTGGTCCGCTTGTCTCTACATCCTAACCCACTCTCCTGTCAGCAAACCGTTTCTGTTTGGGGAGTTCTTATGTCTTTGGACCGAGGCCCTATCGCAATCTGATGGAACCTTGATTTATTTCAGTCTGTCAAGTTAGGGGGAAAAGAAGACAGGACTAGGGTGAAGCAGGGAAACTAGGTAGGAGTCCATGGAAATGGTCCAAAACTGAGTCAGGTTGTTAGCATTGGAATTAGTGCAAAGCGTTTGGATCCTGGATATATCTTGAAGTCAGAAGCAACAGGTTTTGCAGATGAATTTGATGTGGAGATTTGAGAGAGATGAAGTCCAGGGTAACTCCAAGGTTGTCTCTAACAGTTGAAAAGATAAGATTGGGGAAGATCTGTTCAATCTTGGGCATGAAATGGTGGGGATGAAATCTGATTGGAGTGTGTTCCAGAGTGGCAGAAGAGAAATTCAAGGCAGCATTTAAAATGAATATAGCTAGGAGTTTTATAGTAAATAGAAGGTAGGGAAATTGCCAGTAGAAAGGGTGAGATGAAGTAGACAGGATTTTTTAATTGTTAGTGTGTAAGATGGAAGAAATAGCTTGTAGTAGGGTGATAGGAAAAATCCAGTAAGGACACAAAAATGGATGATAAAGGAGGAACAAGGAAGAATTGCTTTAGTGATGTCTTAGAGTAGGCAAGAGGGGATGGATCTGATGTTAGTTTCAACGCTGACAGTTTATGTGGTGGCAATTATTAATACAGATATGGGTAGATGACTTATATGGTGGTGAGAAATTGTGAATTTCTTTTTGTTGCTGTTACTTTCACAGTGGAAGGATGTGAGAGAAGGTGTAGGAGGGAGGTTTGAGGAGAGAAAAGTTAGGAAGTACTCCTGGGAGGATGGGTGAGTGTGTTGGACTAAGGAATTATAGGGCCTTCTTAAGATTGTTGTTGTTGTTGTAATGTGCCATCGAGTCAGCCCTGACTCATAGCGACCCCTCCTTGGGTTTCCGAGGCAGTATCACTACGGAAGTAGGATTGCCCAACCTTCCTTCCTTCTTAAGATTAGTGGTTGTAAAATTTAAAGATAATTGAGTTCATTTTATTATTGAGTTTCTTGAATTTTATGTATACTATTACATCATCTGCAAATACAGATAATTTTTCTTTTCCAGTTCTTAAATCTCTTGTTGTTTTATCTGATTCCTTTGCCTAATATCTCTGATACAGAGTTTGTTGTTGTTGTTATGTGTCGTTGAATCACCTCTGACTCATAGTGACCTTACGTACAACAGAACGAAACACTGCCCAGTCCTATGCCAACCTCATGATCCCTAGTACCTGAGCCCATTGCTGTAGCCACCATGTCTGTCCATCTCATTGAGGGCCTTCCCCTCTTTTGTTGACCCTCCACCTTACAGAGCATGACATACTTCTCCAGAGAATAGTCCCTTCTGACAACATGACCAAAGTAGGTGAGACAAAGTCTGGCCATTCTTGCTTCCAAGGAGCATTCTGGCTGTACTTCCTCCAGGACAGCAGATTTGTTAGCCCTTTTAGCAGCCATGGTACTTTTCAGCATTCTTCATCTACACCACAACTTAAAAGCATCAACTCTTCTTCAATCTTCCTCATTCATTGTCCTGCTCTCACAGGCTTAAGAGGTGGTTGAAAATACCATGGCTTAGGTTAGGCACAGCCTATTCTTCAAGGAGATATCTTGATACAGTGTTTATTACAACAGAAATAGTGGGGACATATAACCTTTCTGATTTACTTTAAGTGTCTCTTTTGTGTGCAGTGTAGATTAGACGTGGTTTGTGAACCATTTTGAAAATAATTTCTTCTGATAGGCAAGTTAAGACCATTCACATGTGTTATATGATTGAATTCAGATCTCAGTTGCGAATCATGGAAACCTCATGTATGTCAGAATTGAACTGTGCTCCATGGAGTTTTCAATGGCTGATTTTTCAGAAGTCAGTCAACAGGCCTGGTAGGTTTGCATTGCTGACCTTTTGCTTAGCAGCCGAATGCTTTAATCACTGCACCACTAGAGCTCCTCACAATGCATATTTCTTTATACATCATTTTATTTATTATGCTCCTGTCTTAGCATGTTGTTTTTCTTGTTCATTTAAAAATTTCTGTTAGTATTTAGTTGGGTGTGTATTTCTCTTCTAGTAGTTACTGTTATTCTGAAGTCTTTTAATACTCTTGAGTCCTTTCTTTTTCACCTTTTATTATCTGGTTTTGTCAATTTTAAATATATCCTTGGACTTCTACCTATGGTTTTTGTAAAAGATAATTAAGTAATTCTTTCCTCTTTCTCTCTCCCTTTTCCCTTTCTGCATTGCATTGTTCCTACTTTGCTGGAACATATGACAGACATATCCTTTGTTTTTCTCTTAGATCTACAGTTACATATATGCGATACTAATAATTTTTTTTTACCAAAGTTTTTCCCATCATATCTTGGTTAGATGAAGCTTATCTCCAGTAGATTCCAGTGAGTGAGTATTCTTCCATGGTTTAAGTTTTGCTTATGGTCTTGCTACTTGAAGAACAGCTAGGCTGCATATAAATTTCTTGACTCATACTTTTTTCCTCATGAATATCTATTAAAAAGTATGATGCTAACTAAGTTTCCTTATTTTGTGAATGACTTGGTCTTTTTGCTTGGAGACTAAAGATTTTGTTTTAGGGTTTCATTTTAGTTTTTATTCTGTAAGGGCCCCATTGCTATGTTAAATTTTGTAAAATGGGCATGGGGGTAACATCCTCTGACCTCCTCCAACCTCATATGGGAGACAGAATCACCCTCAACAGCCCAGGGCTTATTCCTATGAGGCCAGGCATGCCACTACCCTCCAGCTTTTTCACCGGTTCTGATAACACCCATCCTTCCCACAGCCCTCACTACTTCTCTGCTGGGTTTGATGATCCATTGCAGTGGCCACACAGAACTCACAGACAATGCTCAAGGATTATGGGGTTTATTAGGGAAGTAACAGGTTGCAATTCAGGTTCAGGAATGCTTAGTATACTCTTCTTAGATCAGGATAGACTCCTATGGGCCATCCTCAAGACACACATCTTTTTGGTATTTGTCCTCTCAGCCTGGCCTCTACACTGCTTGGGCAAGTGTTGCAAACCTCTTTCAGCTCTGCTGATAAATACACTTGGACGCACCCCACTCCATCAGCAAGCCTCCTGCCAAAAGGCATTGACTGAGCTTTCTTGCTCTGTGGGCCAGCAAACCCAATCCTCTGTCCCCTGCTGGTCTTGGTTCTGCTGCCACCTTGTCTGCAGGTCTCTCTGCTAAGAGGTCCAGCGCAGGGATCTCGGGTCCAAGGATGCACTCCACTCCACCCCTGGCTCTACTCTTGATGGCAGTGAGATCCCACTTTGCACCTATGGGATGGCTCATTTTAAGCCTAGCGAGATGACAGAACTGACCAATCCCCACGTTAGGGTTTATGCACTTTATTTACACAGTCCCACACCCACAAGTTATCCAGTCCTCTTGGTGGCTCCATTATATAGTCCCACCCCATCATCTGGTGGGAATCACAATGACTGTGGCTAGAAGAGCCATGCTAAGTAATTCACTGCACCATACATACTCTTTGTCAATTATCTTTATCTACCACTTTATTTTTTTATTTTGTTTTTTTCCTTTGACCCTTTTCATGCCTTTCCATGGTGCCCTTTAGGTTTTCCATCAAATATGTTCTTCCTTGCATACCTTGTAGTGAATCTTTTTTCTTTCCTGATTTTAACTCTTGATTCAAATTTTCCCTTTTCTCTTCAGAATTAAAAGAAAATTTTTATGTAAGATTTTTTTTTTTCCATATTGCAATTGCTACTTTGAGGATATCTATTACAAATTGTTGGGAAAGTGTATTTGCAATGAATAAGTTGTTGGTTTTGTAAAATTCTGTCATGTGATCACTGGTGTGATTTGTATCACTAACGCCTTCTATTACTAACACCATATTTTCCAACTACCGGTGATTCTTCTTTATTTCCAACTTGCACATTCCAATCACTGTTAATAATCAATACACCTTGATTGCATATTTGGTCAACTTCAGACTGCAGAACTAACTAACTAAACTCACTGCCGTCAAGTTGGATCCGACTCATAGAGACCCCTCCTTGAGTTTCCGAGGCAATATCACCATGGAAGTAGATTGCCCTATCTTGGTTCCAATTCAGACTGTAGAAGTTGGTAAGAATCTTCAATTTTCTTGTCTTTGGTATTAGAGGTTGGTGTGTAAATTTGAATAATATTATTAATTCTGTTCTTCCTTGTAGGTATATGGATATTATCCTATCAATTACAGCATTATTCTTCAGGATAGCTCTTGCAGTACTTTTTTTGTGACGATGAATGTGATGTCATTCCTCTTCAATTTGTAATTCCGGCATAGTAGATCATATAATTGTCTGATAAAAAATGGCCAAATCCAGTCCATTTCAGCTCATTAATGCCTAGGATATCATTCCGAATACTTTTTTTCAACAACATAAACGGTGACTATACATGTGGACCTCGCCGGATGGAATACACAGGAATCAGATGGACTACGTCTGTGGAAAGAGGCAATGGAGAAGCTCAGTATCTTCAGCCAAAACAAAGCCAGGTGCTGACTGTGAAACAGAGCATCATTGCTCATGCAAGTTCAAGTTGAAGCTGAAGACAATTAAATCCACAAGAGCCAAAATATAACCTTGATTGTATCCTACCTTAATTTAAAGACCATCTGAAGAGTAGATGTGATGCACTGAACAGTGACCGGAAACCAGAAGAATTGTGGGATGACTTCAAGAACATCATCCATGAATAAAGCAAAAGGTCATTAAAAAGACAGGAAAGCAAGAAAAGACCCAAATGGATATCAGAAGAGACTCTGAAACTTGCTCTTGAATGGAGAGTAGCTAAAGCAAATGGAAGAAATAACAAGAGAAAAGAGCTGAACAGATGATTTCAAAGAGCAGCTCGAGAAGACAAAGTCAATTATAATGAAATGTGTAAAGACCTAGAGTTAGAAAACCAGAAGGGAAGAATGCGCTCAGCATTCCTCAAGCTGAAAGAACTGAGGAAGTAGTTAAAGCCTTGAGTTGCAATATTGGTGGCTTAGTACCTAAGGCATTTACCTGCTAACCAGAAGGCTGGTGGTTCAAACCCACCAGCCACTCCTCGGAAGGAAGACTGGGCAATCTACTTCCATGGAGATACTACCTCGGAAACACAAGGAGGGGTCACTGTGAGTTGAATCAACTCAAAAGCAGTGAATTTGGTTGTTATTTTTGTTGTTGTTATTTTTTTGGACAAAATATTGAATGATGTAAATCTTTACCCAAATCAAAATAAAATTAAAAAAAAAAAATATTGAATGATGTAGGAAACATCAAAAGAAAATGGAAAGAATACACAGAGTCACTGTACCAAAAAGACTTGGTCGATGTTCACGCATTTCAGGAGGTGGCATATGATCAGGAACCAAGGTATTGAAGGAACAAGTCAAAGCAGCACTGAAGGAATTGGCAAAAAACAAGGCTCCAGAAATTAATGGAATATGCATTAAGATGTTTCTGCAAACGGTGCTGCACTGGAAGCACTCTCTCGGCTATGCCAAGAGATTTGCAAGACAGCTACCTGGCCAACTGAGTGGAAGAGATTCATATTTGTACTCATTCCAAAGAAAGGTGATCCCACAGAATGTGGATATTATATCCTTAATATTGCATGCAAGTAAAATCTTCATGAAGATAATTCAAAGATGGTTGTAGCAGTATAGTGACAGAGAACTTCCAGAAATGCAAGGTGGATTCAGAAGAGGATGTGGAATGAGGAATATCACTGCTGTGTCAGGTGGATCTTGGTTTAAAGCAAAGAATACCAGAAAGATGTTTACCTGTGTTTTATTGACTGTGCAAAAGCATTCAACTTTGTGGATTATGACAAATTGCGGATAAAATGGAGAAGAATGGGAATTCCAGAACCCTTAATTGTGCTCATGAGGAACCTGGATAGACACCGGGAGGCTATTGTTGTTCAAACAGAGTAAGGGGATACTGCATGGTTTAAAGGAGCTCTGGTGGCCCAGTGCCTAAGGCATAGACTGCTAACCAGAAGGCTGGAGGTTCAAATCCATCAGCCACTCCTCGGAAGGAAGATTGGGCAATCTACTTCCATAGTGATACCACCTCAGAAACTCAAGGAGGGGTGATTAAGTGTCGAATCTGACTTGATGGCAGTGTGTTTGTTTTTGTGTGCATGGTTTAAAATCAGGAAGGAAGTGTGTCAGGGTTGTATCTTTTTACCATACTTATTCAATCCATATGCTGAGCAAATAATCCAAGAAGCGGGACTATATAAAGAAGAATGTGGCATCAGGATTGGAGGAAGATTCTTAAACAACCTGTGATAGGCAGATGACACAGCCTTGCCTGCTGAAAGTGAAGTGACTTGAAGCACTTACTGATGAAGATTAGTGTCTGACTAATCTCCAGTATGGATTACACCTCAACATAAAGAAACTGAAAATCCTCACAACTGGACCAATGAGCAGTATCATGATAAATGGAGACGATATTGAAGTTGTCAAAGATTCCATTTTACTTGGTTCCACAATCAACACCAATGGAAGCAGCAGTCAAGAAATTAGACGAAATATTGCACTGGACAAATCTGCTGCAAAAAGACCTCTTTAATGTGCTGAAGAGCAAAGATGTCTGTCTGAAGAATAAGGAGCGCCTGACCCAAGCCATGGTATTTTCAATAGCCTCATATGCCTGTGAAAGCTGGACAGTGAATCAGGAAGACCAAGGAAGAATTGATGCTTTTGAGTAGTGGTGTTGGCGAAGAATACTGAAAGTACCATGGACTGCCAGAACAAACAAATCTGTCCTCTAAGAAGTGCAGCTGGAAAACTCCTTAGAAGCAAGAATGGCCAGACTTCATCACACCTGCTTTGGTCATGTTGTCAGAAGGGTCCATTCCCTGGAGAAGGATATCATGCTTGGTAAACGGAAGGATCAGCAAAAAGGGGAGGGCCCTAAACACAATGGATTGACACAGTAGCTGCAGTGATAGACTCTGGTATAGTAAGAATTGTGAGGCTGGCACAGGACTGGGCAGTGTTTCGTTGGAGCCGAATTAACAGCACCTAAGAACAACAACGACAATATAAGTTGAGTGTTGTAATACAGTTTTCTTGTTTGTGATCGTTACATGAGAAGTTTTATCAACTAAAATATTTATCATTGAGTATGGATGTCTTTGCTTTTTTGTTCAATTTGAAATGCCTTATTTTCCTGGTTTAGCAATAACAGATGAGATATGAAGAGTTTGTATTGTGTACTATGCATCTTATTTTAAAAAAGCCCTGTTCTATTTCTATAATGGAGTGCCATTTCCTTTATCAGCGATGCCTTTTACAGTTGTGGGAAACAATTTTGTGATTTCCTTATTTCTTCAGGAGCTTTTGTGGTATGGTGGTTAACACATTTGGCTGGTAACCAAAATGTTGACAGTGCAAGTTTGTAAGCCGCTCTGCATGAGAAAGATGTGACAGTCTGCTTTCGTAAGGATTTACAGCTTTAGAAACCTGTGGAGCAGTTCCACTCTGTCCTGTAGGCTCACTGTGAGTCAGAATTGACTTGATGACAGTGGGTTTTTAAAATTTTTTCAGAACCCTTAATTTCCTTTCACCAGATCTCCAAGGAGTGTCTTCCCTTCCAAGTTGCAGTAACTTGAACAAGTCAGTTAACTCTTTTATTATCTGTAAAATGATTTAATGATTTTAGGTGTTTTTTATCATAGTGAGATTAACAGGCTTATATTGGAACACATTTCTCTCAATATAATGGAGATTAACAAAATGACAAAGATTAGTTTTATAATTTAAAAAATGAGTTTCATAGTTAACTTGTTTGCTAGTTATTGATTGATTAATCTCATCTCAATCCAAGCTGCTAACTGGAGGCATTTTGTAGCCTGTATTCCTGTTGCCCGACATTGTGTATCCAGACTTACCTCCAGCTACTCCATAACATAAGCTTGATTCTGGTTGGACTTGTCACCTCACTAGTCTCTTATGTAAACTGTTTATTTTTGCTTCCATAATATTTTTGGCTCATGTTCTTCCCTGTAATGCTTTTTATTTTCTTCTTTACCTATGTAAATCCTTTTGATTTTTGTTTTCTAGGCTTGTTTCTTCCATGATCATCCAGCATACATTAATTTGTTTTCTTTTAATTAAAACACTTACTGTTTGCACTTTACATTTTGATATTTAATTATTTTTGCTTAATATTTTCTTTGTTTCATATGGTGCTATATCTTAAACAACTGGTTAGACCAACTCTCTTGAGGGCAGGTAGTGTCATTTTATTATACATGTCAGTGATGAACACAGTGCCCAAAATATTTTTTAATTGAATTAAATTTAAGTAAAAATGGAAATAGCTTAATGATTTTTAGGCCTTTTCTAGATTACTTAATATTACTACTATTTAAAATGAAAATGAATTGATTAATCACTACTAACAATTTGTATTCTTAATCATTTTGAGAGTTCTTTAAATAATCTAGTCACATTGTGACGTCAAGAGAGAAAATAGTCTTTGGACCATAGGGCTGTGGTTGGAATACCATGACTGTGGTTTGGATAAAGTCACGCTTCTGGCCAGGTGTTTCCCGCCTCCAAGTTAAACCTTTTATCTGATCTTAGAAAAGATTGAAACATGGGTTACCCTTCAACAGATCCCTTTGTGATCTGTTGTGATAGCTGTTTCTTAGTAGAGCATTCACTTTAGGACATAAGTCTTGGACCATTTGCAGATATTCATCGACACTGACATTCATTAGTATCATATAACCTGTAGGCAGCTATACTTTTGGGGTTTTAGTTTGGATTTTAAATACCTATTTTCAATGTAATTTAGTTATGTCTGGATTAAGATGTCTCTTTGTACTGTTGAACATACATTTTTTATGAAACCCATCCAAACATGAATTGTTTTTATTCCTTACTCCTCCCAGAGTGATGATTCTGACATTTGGGATGACACAGCATTGATAAAAGCTTATGATAAAGCTGTGGCTTCATTTAAGGTATGAAATGTTCACTCACTCTTTCCTTTATATCCTCATATTTTTCATTTGGAAAAAAATTGATTAATATACAGTAAATATTAAAATGTGCATTACTCAGTTTTAACGTTGAAGATTAAGTGGTAATATGGGTAAGTTAAGTCAGATGATAGCTTCCTTTAGAAGTTGATGGAGTATCTGTATGTCATTCCTTTACCTACCCGATCAGTTGCTGCCCAGTCTTTTCCGATTCACGGAGACCCCATGTGTGCTGGAGTAGAACTGTGCTCTATTGGGTTTTCAGTGGTTGATTTTTCAGAAGTGGATCACCAGGCCTTTTTTCGAGGCACCTCTTGGTGGATTCAAAATGCCAGCCTTTTGCACGACCAAGGTGCAGAGTAGACTTGTAAACGTTTATTGCTTTTAATATTTTTACATTTTATCAAAATATAGAAGTCCTGTAATTCACATTAGCAGGACAATCTGATTTACAATTTTTAAAGACGTAACAAGCCTTTACTGAAATATTAATGATGATGATAAACAATAGTAGTATAGTAATTAATACCTGTAGAGTGTTTACAGTGTTCTAAGCACTAGTCTAAGTGCTTTACATACATTAAATTTATATAATTCTCTCAGTACCCTGTGAGTTGGATATCAAGCCAGTGTTCCTGATGGTCGGAACCTACAGTTGTTTTAGGAAGTATAGTTTGTTTCTATGGCCTAAATAAGACATTTACCCAGTTGTCCAACATCATCACTTTTCCCACTGTCTCCGGTATTTAGTCTTCCTGAGCAGCATGTATGGGCATCACAGTCCATGTGAGGGTGAGCATCTAGTGCAACAAGCATGTAGAGTCCACTTCTTTCCTTCAGTCACTCCTCCAGCATGAGGTAAATTTCAGACCTGTGTGTTATTTTTGCACCTGAATTCTAGGTTTTTAAATAGTATACTTTCCAGTGTACACTTAGACTAGAAGTGGACTAATGAAGGGTTACCAAGAGCATTCTGTAAAATACATATTGAAATGAGGAGAGACTAGAGACTGATGCCAATCAGACAGCTGCTGGTTCATGAGGGCCTGAACTAGAGTTCTGATAGGTAGACTGCTCAGTTCAGGGCTGGTACTCATGATAGTGCAGGGGGAGGTGGTCTGAGTGGAGGTGGAAAATAATGGATTTGGAGGAAAGATAGCTTTAATCATGATGAGTTTGAGGTACATGTAAAGATAAGAAATTGATCATAAGAATTGATTCAAACTAAAGAAGATGGTCAGAGCTGGATAATAACTTTGGTAACTGTGATGAAAGGAATGGATGACCATGAGCAGATGAAGGATAGCCATCCTGTTGTAAACGCCCAAGTTTAATAGTTGATTAGAAAAATAATAAAAGCACTGGGACATTACGTTGCTGTGCCATTAAAGTGTCATGAATTTTAGGAAAGGTCATCAACAAGGTCTAATGGTACAGAAAGGTTGAGAATGAAGGCAAACCAAACCAAACCCACTGCCATTGAGTTGATTCTGACTCATAGCAACTCTACAGGACAGAGTAGAACTGCCCCCTAGAGTTTCCAAGGCTGTCCATCTTTATGGACGCAGACTGCCTCATCTTCCTCCTGTGGAGTGACTAGTGAGTTCAAATCACCGACCTTTGGGTTCGGGGATGGGTACTTTAACCACTGTGCCACCAGAGCTGTGGGAGTGAAGAGTCTTGATTTTAAATGTCTTTAGAATTGATCTGTTTCTTGCATGATGCCTTCAGAAGCACTTTTGGTAGAGTGTAGGATGGTGAAAAGATGAAGTAGAGGCTTTCTGAAGTGGTGAGGCCTTGAGACCATACTGAGTTATGTTGTGATTGCTTTTTAATGTATCACTCTGTAACGTGTACATTTCTATACGTATTTTAATAGCATGCTCTAAAGAATGGTGACAACTGTGAAGCCTCAGACAAACCAAAAGGCACATCTAAAAGAAAACCTACGAAGAAGAAAAAAAGCCAAAAGAAGACTCCCACGACTTCATTGAAACAGGTTAAAACATTGAACTTTAACTTCAAAGTATTTCTTACTGTCCTTAATAAATAGCATAAAACATCTTTAATTTAAATCATTAGTGTATTGTTTCCTATTGACATATAATTGTAAACCTTCTATGAAACTTTCTGGTGTTTAGGAACTGTGCATGTTAGTAAAACAGGTATAAGGAATTAGGTAATGATAAATGCTAAACCCAGGGCAGTGTTCATTTTGTGGATGGGAAGAGGGAGGCAATGCTATTTGGGTAAGGTACCTGAGGTCCTTAAACTGCATTGGCAGTATTTTACTTCTTAAGCTGAGATAAGAGTATCTTGTTTTCTTCAAAAATCCTAAAACTTTTAATACCAGAAGGAGCTCTGGTGGTACAGTAATTAAAACATTCGGCTGCTAACCAAAAGGTTGGTGGTTCAAACCCACCAGTCACTCTGGGGAAGAAAGAAGAGGCAGTCTGCTTCCATAAATATTTATAGTCTTGGAAACCTATGGGGGCAGTTTTACTCTGTCCTGTAGGGTTGCTTTGAGTCAGAATCGACTGGCAGTGGGTTAGGCTTTTTTTTTCCTTTTCAGTATCAGCACCAGGGAACCAAAAATGATAAAACAGTGGACATGGAAGCTACTTTTTGCTATTTTATTGGTCAACTTTAGTTTTATCGTTACCAAGGGAGAAGCAGGCTAACACTTGATGAACAAGTGAGCTCAGGTCGTACAGTGGCTAAAGCATTCAGCTGCTAACCAAAAGGTGGGCAGTTTGAACTCACCAGTTGTTCTGCAGGAGAAAGATGAGGCAGTTTACCTCTGCAAAGATTTACAGCCTTGGAACCCTATGAGGGCAGTTCTCTTCTTTCCTGTGTTGTTGTTGTTATGTGCCGTTGAGTCGGACCCGACCCATAGTTGACTCAGTGGCAGTAGGTTTGGTTTTTTTCATTGGGTTTTTTTTTGCTGTATGCCAGCCGCAAGTGCTGGATGCTTTCCACGCTTTCCCTCCTTTCTAGTCCTCACCACAAATGTGTGAGGTAGACTGTATTATTTCCATTTAACAGAAAAGACAAATAAAACCAAAGAGTTTAAGAAACTTTTAGAAAATTATATAAGTGGCAGAGTTAGAATTTAAGTTTGTGTGTCTCTAGCCCCAAACTTGTCTTCACTAAACTATTCTACCTTCCAGATAAGATAGCTGGAGACTATCTCCTCACTCAGTCATCAACTCTCCACCCAACCCCACACACCCCCCAAACAAGATTGTGTTTTACTGTTTTTATAAGAAGTAGATGTGTGTATGTATCTTTGGTTCCTTTTGTAGTGGAAAGTTGGTGATAAATGTTCTGCCATTTGGTCAGAAGACGGCTGCATTTATCCAGCTACCATTGCTTCAATTGATTTTAAGAGAGAAACCTGCGTTGTGGTTTACACTGGATATGGAAATAGAGAGGAGCAAAATCTGTCGGATCTACTTTTCCCAACTTTTGGAGGAGTTAGTAATATAGACCAGAATGCTCAGGAGAATGCTCAAGAGGTAAGAATACAAAAAGATTTTGTAGACATACAGGTGAGAAACTAAGTAGTATAACTAGTTGTTGGTTTTATCCACTGAGGCATTATTCTTACTGACGCCTTTATAACAAAAATAATTTTTTTTTTTTTTTCCTTAAAGAATGAAATTGACAGTCAAATTTCAACAGATGAAAGTGAGAACTCCTCCAGGTCTCCTGGTAATAAACCAAATGACAGCAAGCCTAAAGCTACTCCGTGGAATTCCTTTTTACCTCCACCACCCCCAGTGCCAGGGTCAGGAGTGGGACCAGGAAAGGTAAACATGAAAAGATATCCCGGGACAACCTCTGCCTTAAGTGAATTGTAGTTTTTCCCTGGAAACTTTTATAGCTCTCTGTAGATGCTACAAATTCACACTTGGGAATTCTTTGTAAAGGAAATAAGATAATAATAAAGAATAGTTAAAATTGAAAGACTTTCCCAAATACTTTTTGTGGAGTACTAAGAGTTAAGCTAATTTAGCAAAATTATGTAAGTCAGGAAGTATAATAATACTTTATTATCAGCTGGGTAATACACTGTACTTCTCCCATGTCACCTGTGTAAGATACATAAAAATTGGGGAAAAATACAATCTGGGTGTCCATTTTGTCTGTTTACATCTAATGCGGATCAAATCTTAGCAAGCTCCCAGGTTGTTTTGCAGGGTTAAAATGTAAATACCGATTCCATGTAAGCTTCTTTTAAGTTGTATGTGATAGAAATTACTGGAGACAAAACAAGATTTTTTTTTGAAGTTTACGTTGTTTTTTCCTTTTTCCTGAATCTAAAATGATCAGCCTCATAAGTCTTACTTTTATATGTATAGGTATATAAATACCATGATTGATATATATAGCCTTCTTCATTGGTCTCAGGGGACTCAGCTTTCTTGTTTGGTAAGAGGTTTGCTAGTTTTCACAATAATTTAGCAAATATATAGTTAAAAGGGCATCTGTAAAAAGAGTGGACAGTTTAGTTAATTGTGGGAAGATACAGTTTTACGATTGAAATATCTTGCTAAATACCACTGTCTGTGATTTATATGGTAATTAAAAAATCATATTGATTTACTTTCCCTGAGTATCTATAGAAAAATTCTAGAGGTTGTCATTTGGCTTATAAATCTGTTTGACTTCAATTATTTGATATATTAAATTCTACTTAACCTTTTTGGTCTATATAATACTTATGTTACTCTGGGTGATCATTTTGATTCTTTGGGTATTAAATTGTTTTCTTCCCTTTCATATTGAAATGGGTAAACTAATTTTCCTTTAAATTTCTCTTTATAGCCAGGCCTAAAATTCAATGGCCTACCACCACCACCACCACCACCACCACCACCACCATCCTTCCTATCATGCTGGCTACCTCCGTTACCTTCTGGACCACCAGTAAGTATAAATAATTCAGATTGAACCTTGCTTCCATACATGGTTTGAAATTTAGCAGAATATAGGTGATTGTTGGAAGTTTAGCAGCATTTAGGTGATGGGAAAATGTCATCCTAAACCAACCTGAGGGCCAGATTCTAATGGGTGAAGAGTTGTATTCTCCTGTTTTTTGTTTTTAATGTTCTTTGGTACCAGACCCAGTGGTCTTATAGCCCCAACTCAGCCCTGTATTACCTGCTTCCTTCTGGGCAGGAGTTGTTTCTCATTCTATTAGGAGGGAGCTTCTATTAGAAAGGATTTCATTACACCTTATATAGGAGAGTAATGACTTGTTCTGCCAGGTAGGTATACTTGGATGTTAGCCTGTCTTCCAGTGGACTAGATTTCTCTGATGAAATTTTAAGTATCAACAATAGACTAGAAGAAACCAAGACACTTTTTGACAGGCTGTGTGTGTTGGGGTAGGAATGGGCAGATGCTGTCCTTAAGATCTTTACTTAAAACTATCCTTGAAATGTTACTTGTTTTTTTGAGGAAAAATATGAAAATGCTTATTTTTGGTCTTTTACCACATAGTTGGGAGCTCTGGTAGCAGAGTGGCTAAGGCACTTGACTGCTAGCCAGAAGGCTGGCGGTTCAAACCCACCAGCCACTCTTCGGAAGGAAGATGGGGCAATCTACTTCCGTAGTGATACTGCCTCGGAAACCCAAGGAGGAGTCGCTATGAGTTGGGTCCGGCTCGACAGCGCATAACAACAACAACAACAACAACAACCCATAGTTCATAGAATAGCAGTAAAAATAAAATTGCTTCTAATGAAAGCAAAATGTTATAACATTTTATGTAACCTACTATAATTTGATCCTTATTCAGTTTGATTTTGTTGATTAAATTATTGCTTTGAGTTTCTCCAAATTTCTGGATTTTTTAAAATTTTAATTTCAAATAGGATATGATATGGAATATAGAAAAAGATACCATTAATGTCCAGCATTCTGTATGTAAATTGGATCGCCAGACTTCATATTTTGTGTACTGGCTTTAAAAGTGTATCTTTCTCCATTTCCAGATAATTCCCCCACCACCTCCCACATGTCCAGATTCTCTTGATGATTCTGAGGCTCTGGGAAGTATGTTAATCTCTTGGTATATGAGTGGCTATCATACTGGCTATTATATGGTAAGTGATCACTCAGCACATTTTTTTTTAACAATCTCTTTGTGGTTGTGTACTTTTATTTTGTTTTGTGACTAAGATGTCATTTGTCTTATGCTAAGTGAAAGAAGCCAGTCACAAAGGACCACATCTTGTATGATTATTTGAAATGTTACAGAATTGACAAATTTACAGAGACAGAAAATAGATTAGTGGGAACGAGGATAGAGGTGTTGGGGGAGTGATGGCTAAGGAGTACAGTTTCTCTTTGGGATAAGGAAAATGTTCTAAACTTAGGGATGCACACTCTATGAATATACTGAAAAGCAATGCACTGTACACAGTAAATAGGTGAATTGCATGTCATGTAAATTATACCTCTCTAAAGTTGTTAAAATAGAGTCATTCAGTTATATGTAGGTCTTAAAGATAAAAACTGTCTTAAAGTTTAAGAAATATATCTAAGGCATAAATCATTCTTGCATCAGCTCTGTTCAGTATAATTGTAGTGCATTTAAAACTCTTGTGCCATTGTTAGATTTGTTTTTTTCATTTTTTTTGTCAAGAATATACACAGCAAAATATGCACTAATTCAGCAGTTTTTACATGTATAATTTAGTGACAGTGATTATGTTCTTCAAATTGTACAACCTTTCTCACCCTCCTTGTCTGAGTTGTTCTTTCACTAATAATATAATTCACTGCCCCCTAAGGTTCCGACCCAGTCATTTAATTGCTTTTGTCAGTTTTATCCATATAGATCTTAAAAGAGCATAATGCTCAAGGCAGAAATTCTTTGCTAGTTAAGCTAAAGTCTCGTTAGGTTTTAAGAAGACTTCAGGGGATATTTTGAATGAATGGTTAAAGATTATCTCAGGACACTGGTTTCAGGGGTTCATTCAACCTTCATGGCTCCAGGAAGTCTGTAGTCCATAAGAATTTGAAATTCTGTTCTACATTTCCCCCCTTTTGATCAGGATTGCTCTCTAGAATCTTTGATCAAAATGTTCAGTAATGGTGTCCAGGCACCATCCCATTCTTCTGGTTTCATGTAAGGAGGCAGTTGTTCAAGGAGGTAACTAGCCAGACATTCCGTATCCTCCTATTCCTGATGCTACTCCTTCCTCTGTTGCTTTAGGGAAATAGAGACCAGTTGTTGTGGCTTGAATGGCTGCTTGCAAACTTTTAAGACCCCAGGCACTACACAGTGAACTAGGAAGTAAAACAGAAGCACTAAATAGATTATTAGGCCAATTTTGTTGTTATTTTGATTATACATTTTTCTAATTCAGTGACACTCTATAAATTATTTTCCAAATTTCACTAGTATCTGTGCTTTGATTTGAAATAGATGGTAGCACATGGAAAAATAATGGATATTTTGTAAAAGGAAATAAAAATTATTTTTGTACATGTAGGAAGGTTTGGGGTGATAAGTACCAAACTGTAGCTTAGAAATTTGGGCTTTGTCATTTCATATATCAATCTGTTGCATACATGTTCTATTGTAAATTAAGCAGGAAATTAAAAAAATTTTTTTAAAGGAAGCTATTGTGCCATGCAAAAATTATGATGTGTGACTTTGTAGTTAATTAATATAGAAAGGTGACATCAGAGTATAATTTTTTCCTCCATATACCATCTGTACATGTCCCCATTTAATATTCTTATTTTATAGATTGTAATTTGATTTGAAACCAGTCATCTGACTGTCATTCCCTAACCTTTCCCCTCCGTACTTCAAGTTTCTCTGCATGATTTCAACAGGTTATTTTTCTCATCTTTTTAAAATTATGGAATATTTTGAAGAATAACATGTGTAATATGTATCATTTTATCAACATAATTTATGTTAATTAAAAATTTTTTTTAGACAGGGAAACAAGGGGAGAAATAACATCCATAGCTCTGTCACACAGATGCACCTTATTTTGACTTATTTTCAGGTTCATATTGTACGTACCTTCATGGTTTGTGCTTGGCTGTTGTTGTTAATGTAAACTTTTTATTAAAATATACCATGCATGCAGAAAAATACACAAGTTATAAGTTTACAGTTTGATAATTTTTCACAAAGTGATCACACCTGTGTCATCAGCATCACTGTCAAGAAAAAGAACATTATTATAACTCCAGAAGCCTCCTCGTATCTCATTCTAGTCATTAGCCATCTTCCTTTGAGGGGTAACCATTTACCTGATTTCTAACATCATAGATTTGCCCATTTTTAAACTTCTTATGGATGGAATCATATGTTTTTGCTCAGCCTTTGTATTATATTCCATAATCTGTTTATTTGTTCTACTGTCAATAGATAATGTGTGGTTTCCAATTTTTGGCTATTAAAAATAATATTGCTATGACCATTCTTTTTTTTTTTAAATGGCATTATTGAGATAAAATTCACGTACCATACAATTCACCCTTTTAAAATCTATAATTCAGTGGTTATGAGTATGTCTACAAAGCTGTGCAATCATTACTACTAATTCCTGAACATTTTCATCATCTCAAAAAGAAACTTCATGCCTTTTAGCAGGAGTGCAGTGGTGGTTCAGGGGTAAAACCTCATCTTTCAGGCAGGAGACCTGGGTTCCATTCCCGGACAGTGCACCTCAACACAGCCCCCATCTTCTTATCATTGGAGGCTTGTGTGTTACTCTGATGGTTAACTGGTTCAGCTGAGCTTCCAGACTAAGACAGAACACAATCCAAGGCTTGGAGACCTATTTCCAAAACTCAGTTAAGGAAAGCCCAATGGATCACAACAGTCCTATCCTATAGTGCATGGGGTCACCATATGTCAGAACCCACCCAAAGGCAGCTTACAGCAGCAATTCATTATTAGTTATTTCCCATTGTTCCCTGTTCCCAGTTCTTGGCAACCATAATATATTTTCTGTCTATGGATTTGCCTGTTCTGGACATTTCATATAAACAGAATCATATAATATGTGACCTTTTGGGTCCAGCTCTTACTTCTACCATTTTCTCTTTCAAGAATTTAGAAATGGAGAGTGGTTATGATTGCACAACACGGTATACAGAATTGCTGTCACTGGATTGTATATGTAAAACACTTTGAAATGGCAAATGTTTTGTTATATATATATCTGTTTACCACGCACACACGCACACAAACCCAATTAGAATGTAAATGATGAAGAGTAATGTTGGAATAACATAAAATTGACTGTAACTTTGGTACTCATTGGTAACAAATCATTTTTAATACATGGTACAGCCAGTTGGGTGTAGATTACTAGTGAGGAGGAAAGCTATTACTCTAGTAAAAGTTAATATACTTAAAAGCCAAAAACAAACCCATTGCTGTTGAGTCAATTCTAATTCATAGAGACCCTCTAATTTAGGGAAAGACGAAAGACACTGAGGCCATTCAACAACAACAAAATTAATTTTTTTAAAAGTAAAAGACATTGAAGCCAGAAGAGGAGGAGAAGGCATTTGGGATGGGTTTGACCAGGAAAAGTGACCAAGATTTGAGTATTGATTTTTTTTTTTTTAACTTCTTCACTGTGTTTATTTAGTACTTGTTATTAATGGTTTTATTTGCATAAATAGGTATGACAGATAATTGTAGATCATTGTATATTTTATTTCATGAAAATAAGGTATAAGTGAGCTTAGGGGCATCCTTCGACTTACTGAGAATAGAAAAATTTCTTAATTGTAGCCTATTTTTCACTTGGCATCAGTTTTAAAGCACATTGGAAGTCTGTATATTTTCTAATGACATTTTGTTAAATAAGATAAGTAGAATATGTTAAGTGAAATAAAGTACTTTTTAACATCTGTATATAATATGTATTGCGCTTGTCTTTTAAATTCCTTTACTTCTTTTTTTTTTCCTTACAGGGTTTCAGAAAAAATCAAAAAGAAGGAAAGTGTTCAGATATCAATTAAGGAGTAAGTCTACCATCACAAAACAAATGAATCCCACTTTTTTTGTACATATCATTTTAAAAAGTGAGCAACAAATCATTATAAATTAAAATGTTAAAAAATTGAAACTTTAACATCAAAACAATATTAAAGACATTTTGATGGCCAGAATTCATATATGAAAGATTGATCCCCCATTCCACTAGACATCTCATAGTGTCAAATATCATCTCACCAAATATCTGCTGGTTGGTTGTGTGTGGTGATTTAATCAGGCAGTTAAAGCCAATTTCCCATTTACAGGAAATATTGGAGATAAAGGAACAAGTTATATGACACAAACAAAAGAAATAATCAGCCAAGTCCAGAATATGGCCTAGAAGATAACTGCCCTCATTTCTTAAAAATAAATCAGTGTCATGAAAGAAAAAAACAATGGGGTGGGGGAGGGGCTGTTAGGATAGTGGATTAAAGGAGATTTCAGAGACATGATAGCCAAATGCAGTGTCGTACCCTTGACTGGACCATGGTTTAAAAAACTAAAACACGTGGTGAAAGGGGGGAAAGGCAATGAGGAAATTTTAATTTGGACTGGATTTCAAATGAGAGTAGATAATTGTTGCTAATTTTATAAGTTGTCTTGTAGTTTATAGGAGTATGTCCTTTTTTAATTTGCATGCTGAAGTATGTAGGAGTGAAATACTAGTATGTTTCTTATATTAAAATGATTTAGCAAACTGTGTGAAGCATATACGGTAAAATATTAATTACTGAATCTAGGTGACATGTATATAGATATTCATTGTACCATTTTTTCTATATGTTTGAAAAGTGCATAATAAAAATGTTTAATATTTTTAAACTAATTTTTAAAAATTATGCAAGTGTCTGTCATATTCCTGTTTCTGCATTTCGTTGTATACTTTTGATCCATATTTATCCGTATTTTGATACGGACGTCATAATAACATTTTATGTTTATATGTATATGTAGCTTCTATCACATTTTCATGTTGTTACTTTTTATTCCCATGAGATTATTTGCGTATATGATAAGCCACTAGTTCTTTAGTTCAATAGGTTTTGTTATTCTGGATAATGTTACAGTAAATATCTTCATATATGTAATACTCTGATTCTATTTTGTGATAGTCTTAGGATAAATCTCTGTGACGTAACTATTTGATAAAAGGTTATAGACATTACAATGATTTGTGTTAGCTGGTTCTGTGTTCCTTGAAAAGCAAATTTTTGAAAATCACATTTTCTTTTCCGTTTTCAGAATGAGAAATAAATTCCTGGCAGAGGAGGATATTTTTTTAAATTATATGTGATCTTCACATTTAATGTATAATTACATTTTGATTAAAGTAATCTGAATTCAACTGAAATTCTTCATGTGGGTTATTTAGCCAAGACTAAAAGAGTGAATAGAAAAATTCAGCAAGATGAAATGGGTGATACTGTTTCAGGCAGAGAATATATAAAACTGGAAACATGAGAGCATGGTGTGTTTAGAGGCATCTTTTCGTTGTTGTTGTTATGTGCCATCCAGCTGGTTCTAACTCACACCGACCTCATGGACAACAGAATGAAATACTGCCTAATCCTGTACCATCCTCACAATCATTGCTTTGTTTGAGGCTATTGTAGTAGTCACTTTGTCAGTCCATCTTATTGAGGGTCTTTGTCTTTTCTTCACTGACCCTCTACTTTACCAAGCATGATATCCCTCTCTAGGGACAGGTCCTTCCTGGTAACATGACTGTTTTGGTCCTCTAGTGCCACTCTAACAGAAAATACCACAAATGGGTGGCTTGAACAAATGGGGATTTATTCTCTTACAATTTAGGATGCTAGAAGCCCAAGTTCAGAATGGTAGCTCTAGAGGCTGGGTAAAAGCCTCTTGTCCTTGGGCTTTAGCTCTTCCTCTTACTCCCAGCCCACTGAAGATGGAGGCTTCTCTTAACTCAGGCACATGCTGGCTGCTGAGGCTGACAAACCTAAGTTCAACAAGTAACTCCCAGCCCACTGAAGATGGAGGCTTCTCTTAACTCAGGCACATGCTGGCTGCTGAGGCTGACAAACCTAAGTTCAACAAGTAAAATGGCACAGTCCCAAGATTATTAAACAATATGGCAGGCCACTAGTTCAAGTCCAGAAATGGTCCCAAGATTGGCAGGTAACATGGCAGATCACTGATGACTCAGCCAAATGCAGAATCAAGATGTGCCAAGATGCTAAGGGACTTTCTCAAGGCTTCTCATATACTGGAAGCAGACCACATCTCTAAGGTAGCTACTCAGCTGCTTACAACAGATTCCACCATGGAGTTGATTACCAGTCTCTTCCTGGGGAATCCTACGTCCAGCTGCCCAGCCTTTTAAAATGAGGCCCAGCCAAGTTGACACACAACTTAACTACCACAGTGACCAAAGTACATGAGAAAAAATCTTGCCATCCTTGCTTCTAAGGAGCACTGGGCTATACTTCCTCCAAGACAGATTTGTTTGTTCTGCCATTCCATGGCTTATTCAGTGTTCTTCTTCAACACCATAATGCAAAGGCTTAAGTTCTTCTGTAATCTTCCTTACTCATTGTCCAGCATTTGTATGCACGCAAGGTGATTGAAAATACCATGGCTTGGGTTAGGTGTACGTACTTTAGTCTTCAAAGTTACATCTTTGCTTTTTAATACTTTAAAGAAGTCTTTTGCAGCAGATATGCCCAATGGAATATATTGATTGATTTCTTGACTGCTGCTTCCATGGGCATTGATTATGGATCCAGTAAAGTGTAATCCTTGACAACTTCAGCCTTTTCTCCATTTATCAGAATGCTCCTTATTGGTCCAGTTGAGGATTTTTGTTTTCTTTATGTTAAGGTATAATCCATACTGAAGGCTGTAGTCTTTGATCTTTATCAGTAAGTGCTTCAAGTCCTCTTTGCTGTTAGCCAGCAGGGTCCTGTCGTCTTCATACCACAGGTGGTTAGTGAGTCTTCCTCTGATCCTGATGACACATTCTTCTTCATACACTCCAGCTTCTAAGCATATAGATTGAATCAGTATGCTGAAAGGCTAACACCCTTACACACCTTTCTTAATTTTAAACTATGCAATATCTCCTTGTTCTTTTTGAGTGACTGCCTCTTGGTCTATGTACAGACTCCGCATGAGCACAATTAAGAGTTCTGAAATTCCCATTATTCACAATATCATCCATAATTTGTTATGATCCACACAGTTGAATGCCTTTGGATTGCCAATAAGAGTAAACATCTTTCTGGTATTATGTGTCTTCAGCCAAGATCCGTCTGATATCAGCAATGATACCCCTTGTTCTACCTTCTCTTCTGAATCGGGCTTGAATTTCTGATAGTTCTTTTTTTATGTAGTGCTGCAGCTGTTTTTGAATTATTTATATATATGATATTATTAATACTCACATTTTCTGTTGCATCACCTTTGGAATGGGCATAGATGTGGATCTCTTCCTGTTGCATGCTGTCTTCCACATTTATTGGCATACATCTATGCCAGGTGCCAAAGTGAGCACTTCTAGTATTGCATGTATTTGCTGAAACATTGCAATTGGTATTCTCTCAGTTTCTGGAGCTTTGTTTGTTGTCAGCTCCTTCAGTGCAGATTGGACTTCTTCCACTACTGTTGGTTTTTGATAATATGCTACTTCCTGAAATGGTTGAATGTCAATCAGTTCTTTTTGATACATTGATGTTATATATTCCTTCCATCCTCTTTTGATGCTTTCCGTATCATTCAATATTTTGTCCATAGAGTCCTTTGAAGGTTGGCTAAACGTGAGTCCTTGCCCAGTGCACGATTAGGCCAAATTACTTTACCAAGTGCTTGAGAGGAAAGAAAGATTATTTATTGCAAAGTGGCAATTCAAAGAGACAAGATTATCCAAATCTGTCTCCCCAAGTGGAGGTTGGGATACAGTTTTTATAAAGTTTGGGAAAAGGGCTTATACATATTCATAAAAATTTCAGGAATTTGGGTATGAATTAGCTGGAGAGTGGCTGAGCTTCCTTCAGTAACTTAATGCAGTGCCCTTGTGCACTGGATAAGTCAGCTGATGACTTTCTGTCATCAGCTGATCAGGGCTTAGGCAGAGGGGGAGAAGTTAGTTCTGAGCAACTTCCATCCCGTCCTAGGACCAAAACTGATCTGAGCTGGCTTTAACTGATTTCAAGTTGCTATTGGTTGTTTCTGAAAAACAACTTTAAGGAAACGCATTATCATGCTTACTCATCTGTCCCCAGCTAGGATGGGGGATGATTATAGAAAGGATGGGGGATCGAGTTTCAATTCAACTCAGCTTCACCTTCAGTATTGCAACTTGAAGATTTAATTTTTTTCTTCAGTTCTTTGAGCTTGAGAAATGCCAAGTGTGTTCATCCCCTTTGTTTTTTTAACTCCGGGTCTTTGCACATATCATTATAATACTTCACTTTGTTTTCTCAAGCTGCCCTTTGAAATCTTCTGTTTAGCTCTTTTACTTCATCATTTCTTCCATTCACTTTAGGTACTCTACATTCAAGAGCAAGTCAGAGTCTCTTCTGACACCTATTTTTGTCTTTTCTTTCTTTCCTGTCTTTTTAATGACTTTTTGCTTTCTTTATGTATGATTTCCTTGTTGCCATCCCACAGCTCATCTGGTCTTTGGTCATTAATGTTTAGTGTGTCAAATCTCTTCTTGAGATGATCTCTAAATTCAAGTGGAATATACTCAAGGTCATATTTTGCCTCTTATGGACTTGTTTTCATTTTCTTCAGTTTCAACTTAAAATCGCATACAAGCAATTTATGGTCTCTTCTGCAGCCAGCCTTTGGCCTTGTTCTGACTGACAGTATTGAGCACTATTGTCTCTTTCCACAGATGTAGTCAATTTTTTTAATTTTCTTTTCTTTTTTTATTAGGATTTGGGTGAAGATTTACAGAGTAAATTCACTTTTCATACAGCAGTTCACATATACTTTGTCTCATGTCATTGACCAAAATT